CAAACTACAGTTTTCACTTTGCCAAACAAGAAAAAGGCCTATACATTTTCATTAAATTATGTAGCTAGGATTGCAGAGTAGAAAAGCTACTGAATGTTAAGATCAATTTGTCAGAACTAGTCAACTTCTCATATAAAGTTTCAAAACATTCCCTACAGTAGCACAAGTGGCACAAGACAAATCCCACCTGTCTAAGAATAGTTAAGCCTGTCTTAAGAAGATAGCACAACATTAAACAATTAAACATTATTTCCATAATAAATAAAAAACGATACTGGATTGTCTTGGTGCAATGGTCTGACTTCCAGAGCCCCCAGGCCATGTCCCTCTTCTTTGTCCCCATTTCCCCTTCTGAATCCCGTTAGCTGTTTCTATTGTTTTTAAATCTTATTCTTTCCCATTTTTTCATCGTTTTCATGCAAAGGGTCTACAGAAATCATCTAACTGCTAAAAATACCAGTCCTGAGAACTTTTATCCAAAAGGAAGAAAACTATGTAGCAGTCAACTCTGTTAGTTATGTGCCATTGTCTCATCTCCAAAGGAGATACAAGAAAGCAAGCTTAACTCTAAAGCAGTTATACTGTTTCTAGAGAAAGCTCATCCCCCAAGTACAGAACGGCTTCTACACAGAACCTGAGCTAACCTTGCCAGACCTTACCTGGCATCATGCTAAGGAGGGAAACTTTGCCAGAACTCCCTACAGCCTCTTTGCAGAAGAGGGAACGCTGGGAAGTGTGGTCAGACATCCCAATTTTTTGGGATGATTCTAGTGTCAACCTGGTACCACCACAGGCAGACGGACTGTCTCAGTCCAGACTGGGCAATCACCCCGAGGCCACGGCAAGCAAGGAGATGCATGTGCCACACTTAAATGCAAAGGCTTAATACCTTGGGTCCAAAGTGGCACTGAACCCAGCCAGCCCTCCCAGAGCACAGTGCTGCAGAATTGAAGTGACACCACACTGCCTGTTCCATACATACAGCTGAGCATTGCTACGCTCTGCTCACCAGCCCTCACACCATCCGTGTTTTTCCATTACTTACACTAGTACTGTGTCCAGCTCTGGAGCCCCAGCACAAGAAAGACATGGACCTGCTCAAGCAGGTCCAGAGGAGACCACGAAGATGCTCAGGTGGCTGGAGCACCTCCCCATGAGGACAGGCTGAGAGAGCTGGGGCTGTTCAGCCTGGAGAAGAGAAGGCTCTGGGGAGACCTTAGAGCGGCCTTCCGGGGGGGGCTACAGGAAAGGTTGGGAGGGAGTCTTTGTCAGGGAGGGTAGTGATAGGACGAGGGGTAACGGTTTCAAACTGAAAGAGGGGAGATTTAAATTCAATATTGGGAAGAAATTCTTCCTGTGAGGGTGGTGAGGCACTGGCACAGGTTGCCGAGAGAAGCTGTAGCT